ATTTTGGATTGGTACTTGGACGATTTCGAATACAAGTAATGTATTCGCCCAGCTACAGCTTTCGTCTATAGTTACGTGAACTCAGCGATGTTCCGGGTGGGATCGTGCAGTGATATTTACGACAGCTATGAAGGATCTGAGGAATCGACAGTCCCCTACTACACTTCAATTGTCAACGGACCTTATTTTGGAAATGGGCTACAGTTTCTTATGGGAAGAACCTTTGCCAAGGTGACCATGCGAGTCTGTCTGTCTGTCCGTCTGAATGTATGTAACATGTCTGTCTGTAGGTATGTAGGTAGGTAGGTAGTTAGTTAGGTAGTTAGGTAGGTAGGTAAGCAGGTATGTAGGTAGGTATGTGTGTGTGTGCGTGGGTGTATATATATATATATACATGTATGCGTGTCTGTTTGTCTGTCTGTCGGTCTGTCTGTCTATCTGTTTGTCTGTATGCATTTATGTATTTTTTTTTTTTTTAAAGTATCCAGAAACCATGAGTTGTAAACCCTTTGGCTCGGTACTATGGATATCGCAACCCTTCGGCATTGATTCCATTATAGGTACCGTTAATCTGGGAGAAATGTGGCTTTTCTGCCTACCCCCGGGAGTGAACCCGGACCACAAGGAGTTCGTCACCCGGCCGCCGCGAAAGTCAGGTTTAACCAACTTCGCTAGAGAGCCGGGCGCATTTATGTATTTAAATGTATATTAGAGCCGCGATAGCTTGGTGGTTAGAAGCTAACCCCCCCTCCCCCCCCTTTTCCCGCCGCAAAGAAGGTCTTGGTTTCAAATCTGCGTATGTGTGTCACTGACTAATGACTTCCTTATGAGGCTTACATTTAGACGATGTCCCCTAAACCTATATAAAGCACTGAGAGACCCCAACTACTTCCAATTATACCAGCTAATCTCAGAAAAGTCGGCTCTGTGGCTAAGTCGATGCGAACTCTTCGTAATGCCGAGGTGCCGGGTTCGATCCCAGCTGCGGGCCATGCGCCTTGCTTTGGTTTCGACAGTGGGGGGTGGGGGGGGGGGGTTATGCCAAACACAGTTAGCTGAGAGAGCTTAAAATATTATTTTAAAGTTATTTCTTAACTATTTCTATTTTAATAATTTCGCCATAGATGATTTTTCAATCCTTCGGAGAGAGAGATATGACTGCGTCAAGTGGAGAGGAAGGGTGGTTGATGGGGGGGGGGGGGGGGGAATGACAGACACTGTTAGCTGAGAGCTATTTTCTTTCCTCTCCATTTCACCATTCTGGGCAGCAGCAACGCGTGGCCAGGTACAACTAGTATATATATATATATATATATATATATATATATATATATATATATATATATATATATATATATATATATATATATATATATAATACATTCCTGTCGAAGCCTCTATTAAAGCAAAACTGCATTTGTAAACAGACATTTGTTGAGGTACCTGAAAATTGCAAGTCCCTAAGCTGCAGGCCCAGAATATGTGTTTATCCATAACCAGCGCCTTTTCCTCACCACTAAATTCTCTGGAAAGTGTTTATCTCTCCACCTGAGCTCTGCATTAGTCAGTTGTAGTTTTTTTTTTTTTTTTTCCTATTTAATTATTTACATTTTTCCAAAAGCACCATTTAATCAATACAAGATATTTATTGCAAGTTTTTGTTTCCTTTAGAGTTTGTAATTAAAATGATATCATGTAACAGATTCATTAATTGTTTAGCTAATATTTCGTGACTGGGAGCTTAGGCTTGTTAATTGACATCCACTTCTTTTATGTAATCGATTTCATGTGTTGATGAACATCAAAGAGAGGTGCGGTTACTTTTAAATTTTTCGTTGTCTGTATACGCGTTGTTCTTCTACATCTTGTCGTCTTCCTCCGGCTCTCCTGCTCTCCTCCTTTTCCTCCCCATCCTTCTTTTTAAATTTCTTCTTGTGCTTCTTCTTGTTCTTCTTCTTGTTCTTCTTCTCCTTCTTCTTCTTCTTCTTCTTCTTCTTCTTCTTCTTTTTCTTCTTCTTCTTCTTCTTCTTCTTCTTCTTCTTCTTCTTCTTCTTCTTCTTCTTCTTCTTCTTCTTCTTCTTCTTCTTCTTCTTCTTCTTCTTCTTCTTCTTCTTCTTCTTCTCCTCCTCCTTCTTCTTCTCCTTCTTCTTCTTCTTCTTCTTCTTCTTCTTCTTCTTCTTCTTCTTCTTCTTCTTCTTCTTCTTCTTCTTTTTCTTCTGTTTCTTCTTCTTCTTCTTCTTCTTCTTCTTCTTCTTCTTCTTCTTCTTCTTCTTCTTCTTCTTCTTCTTCTCTTCTTCTTCTTCTTCTTCTTCTATTCTTCTTCTTCTTCTTCTTCTTCTTCTTTCTTCTTCTTCTTCTTCTTCTTTTCTTCTTCTTCTTCTTCTTCTTCTTCTTCTTCTTCTTCTTCTTCTTCTTCTTCTTCTTCTTCTTCTTCTTCTTCTTCTTCTTCTTCTTCTTCTTCTTCTTCTTTTTCTTCTTCTTCTTCTTCTCCTCCTCCTCCTCTTCTTTCCTCATCGTCATCTTCTTCTTCGTTTTCTTCTTCTTCTTCTTTTTCTTCTTCTTCTTTTTTTCTTCTTCCTCTTCCTCTTCTTCTTCTTCTTCTTCTTCTTCTTCTTCTTCTTCTTCTTCTTCTTCTTCTTCTTCTTCTTCTTCTTCTTCTTCTTCTTCTTCTTCCTCTTCTTCTTCTTCTTCTTCTTCTTCTTCTTCTTCTTCTTCTTCTTCTTCTTGCTCTTCTTCTTCTTCTTCTGCTTCTTCCCCCTCCTTCTTCTCCTCCTTTTCCACTTCCCCTTCTTCTTCTTCTTCTTCTTCTTCTTCTTCTTCTTCTTCTTCTTCTTCTTCTTCTTCTTCTTCTTCTTCTTCTTCTTCTTCTTCTTCTTCTTCTTCTTCTTCTTCTTCTTCTTCTTCTTTTTCTTCTTCTTCTTCTTCTTCTTCTTCTTCTTCTTCTTCTTCTTCTTCTTCTTCTTCTTCTTCTTCTTCTGCTTCTGCTGCTGCTGCTGCTGCTGTTGTTGTTGCTACTGGTCTGGACCGACATCGACTATCATGACTACCTTATTGTCTCCCTTATCCGGCATTTTGATTGTTTCGGTTTTGCTGATCTCTTGCCAGTCGTCACCTGTGGCTTAGGCTTTGCAAACGCGTTTCGTAATGCCGAGTTGCTTGGTTCGATTCCAAATGCAGGTGATTTGGCAGCAGACCGCCTCGCGTTGGTTTCGACAGTTGTATCAAGAGCGGACCGCTGCATAAGCAAAAACAAACTACTGAAGTAAAATTGCCTGTTAAAGTCACAAACAGCCAAACAAACATACGAACATACAAAAATGTTGTTGGTGCTGTGAAGTTCTATAATCGACACGCAACTGTCCCCCCCCCCCCCTCTCCCCCTCTCCCCCTCCCAATCCCACTACGTGTGTTTTTTCTTGCCATAGCTATTCATGCTTAGTGCCATGGAAAGGGTTAACTTCATTACAAAAAACTTGTCATTCTGTCCCTTGTAAATTTATCTGTGATAATGAAGCTTGATTAAAGCAGAAGGCATGGTACCAGGAAGGAGGGGCAGGGGCCGACCGACACGAAAATGGGCACAGGATATAAGTGACTCCTTGAGTGTGAGAGTGCATGAGTCGGGAGAACTGGCGAGAGACCGAGTTTCTTTCAGGCAGACTGTGATGAGAGCGACGTTCTGCAAAGGACCTGCTATATGATGATGAATGAAGCTTGAAGATCTTACTTGTAGCAGGAGAAGAGTCTCGACAGCTTTCATATATAAGGCCTAGGAAGAAAAACCCACATCGGTGGTGCTAATGCAAGAAAACAAACAGACTGGGGCGTGTGGGTAGAATGCTCAGCAACTTACAAACTGGGTGTGTGTTTTCAGGGAATGGGAGGAAGGGGGAGGGGAGGGGGAGGGAGTTGGACTAAGGCGGCCTAAGCCTAGTTTAAATAATAATAATAATAATAATAATCATTAATGATTTTTAAATACACAAAATAGCATACTTCGAATAATATGATACGTAAAATCAAAACAATAAAAAAAAATTCATGTTATTGAATAGGGGTAGCATTACTATTTTGGTTGCTTACCCCAACCCCCGCCAACCAACCCCTTTAAAATATGGGCGTGAGGGGGCAATCTCAAGGTGTCTGTGCTCCCAGGTTTTGACGCCCCTACCTAGCATTATGTGATAAGATAGATAGAAAACAAACATTAAGATTTTGGACAGAATATACCACACATTTTCTTTTGCAATGATAGGTACTTTTACTTTTGTATGATTTTTTTTAACCATTCTGCCTGTTTCTTTAAACTGTCTCTACTGTTACTAACTAAGCAAGTGTAGAGAATACGTTTTAATTTCTGGTTCTTCCAAGGACTTCGTATTATCATTTCCCTGTGTGGGTTTTAGAGCCTTGTTGCGGGGGAAGGGGGAGGGGGGTGTGAACAAAAAATAGATCCATTGCCTAGCTAAAAAAGCGTGTCGTAAGAATCGACTAACTGAGAACTTCCTTGAATGTCGGAGTGCATCTGCCGGAGCGACAAGGAAAAATCAACTGCAGATGGAACAAAGCACCTAAATGACTTCAGCAGAGCCACCACAATTTTTTTTTTAAATGATGTTAAACGCCTACACGTACACCCAGGCACGCGCAGACCTGTACACACGGTTCTTTTCTTTTCACTCATCCCATCCCGGGGACTCCCAGATTTTTCGGGAAAGTTCAGTAGTATAGGGGTTTTCGGGTTTGAAGTAAGCACTGACTAATACTAACCCTAACCTCCCTCCAACCCCCCCCCCCCTAATAATAATGGACTTTCCCGGAACTTCCTATTAAATCTTGGAATCTCCGGGAAGAGTGAACTGAAAGAAAAGTACCCATGCATACTTATATTGATATATTGTGTATGCCAATACTCAAATTTATGAATACTACTAATATACTTTTCTCTCACGTCTTTATCTTTTCATTCTCTCGCCTGCCACCTGGACTCAATCCAACAGCTCACCGATGAAGAGAGAGTGTTCCTCAACGCAGCTTACTTGGGAGATGTTGGTATCGTCCGTCAGTCCCTGGAGGACTCTGCGGAGAGCTCGCTCAACGTAAACTGCGTGGATTACATGGGTCGAAACGCCCTACACCTAGCCATAGACTCGGAGAAGCTGGACATCATCGAGATCCTTCTGGATAACCTCAGTTTCAACTGTATCGAAGAGGCTCTCCTGCATGCCATCTCCAAGGGCGCGACGAAGATCGTCAAGCTGATCATTGAACACCCAAACTTCATGGCGGGGGAGGATAAGCTGAGGAGGATGGGTGGCGGAGACGCCTTTTTCAGGCTAGAAGAGAAGAGCCAGTTTCCCCCAGACATCACGCCGTTAATTCTAGCAGCTCATTACAACAACCATGAGATTATACAAATGTTCCTGTCCAGAAACCACACCATCGAAAAACCTCATCCCATCTCCTGTAAGTGCCAAGACTGCGTCACCAAGCAGAATTATGACTCTTTGAAGAGATCCAGGTCACGGTTGAATGCTTACCGGGCTTTGGCCAGCCCGGCCTATATGGCCTTGTCCAGTCCTGATCCTATCATGACAACCTTTGAACTCCGGCAGGAAATGATGAAACTTGCAGAGGTGGAGAAAGAGTTTAAGGTCAGTGGCGAATTTCATTGATCTGAGATTGATGTTAGCATTACATTTGTTTGTTTTGTCTGTATGGCATTTTAGCTATTTTGTCTGTATGGTTTATAAGCTACTGTCCTTATACGGTGGCCAGGTGAGTAATTTATGTGTTGCTTCAAAAAAAGATTTTCAGGTGATTTCTACTTAGTGGAGTTTTCAGTTGACTATCCAACCTAATTGATACCAGAGACTTCAGCCGGAGGAGAGCATTTGGGAAAGATACTAGCGTTTTTCTAGAAGCGATGAAGGCACGACGGTTTCCGACTATCGAATCATTCATGTTTTTCTATTTTATGCTTGATGGCGGTGACTGTTTTCGGTGGTGGATGTGCTTGAACCGTTCAACAACAACAACAAAGAAACATATGATACCCTAGATAGAGTCTAGGAGTGTCCCGGAAAAGCCCTACGAAATATTGGGGCCGAAAAGATGGGGTAACAGGTGAGTTTTACCTAGATTAGTACATTTTGCACACCTAAGCAGTTCTTCGATTTGCTAATGCATAATGACTTAGTAATTATCTTGCTGACCCATGTATTTATTTTTTATTTTTAAGTATGTACCTTTAAAAAAAAAACGTTTAGGACCCTTTTCCACGCCTTAGGGCGTATAGGGCATATAGGACTGGACCTGTATTTTATAGACCAATCGGCACAAGATGGGTGATGTGGTCAGCATCACGCCGGCTGCCTTCACTTTCCCGGGACTGCCCCCGGTACCCACTCAAGGCTGGGACGACCTGGGAGCCAAGGTCATTTTTGAAAAATATGTACCTCTACCCTAGGCTAAAGCAGAACAGACCAGAATATTGTTTTATTGTCAACGTAACATAAAATACAAGGAAATATCCGAGGAAGTAAAGGCAGTCAATAACCAACTGACCCCTCACGCAGCGAGTGTCGAAAGATTTATGGACACACCATGTTATGATTTTGGTGGGACCATTTACCAGTGTGGTGGGTTAACCGATCTTCTGAACAGACGTATGATAAACTATATTTGTCAACCAACAACTTTTTTTTTGAAAATATATGCCATATCACCAGGAGCCACAGTTGTGTTAACCACTAGATGCTTGCCTGACGTTCCGATGATCTTGCGTTAAAATCTACATGGAATGAAAAAAAAATTTTTTTAGACCTTGGTCGACCCGGTCTAAAATGAGTACCAAGTGCAGACCTTGGTCGACCCGGTCTAAAATGAGTACCAAGTGCAGACCTTGGTCGACCCGGTCTAAAATGAGTACCAAGTGCAGAACTTGGTCGACCCGGTCTAAAATGAGTACCAAGTGCATACCTTGTAAATAAAGGCTGTCGGCGTGATGTTGACGTTAGCGATCGGGTACCGACTGGTCTACAACAATATGAGCCCAATAAGCCACTGCTGGGAAAAGGATTCTCAATCGGCATTCTTTCATTTACCTACACATATCACTGCTGATTTTCGTGGGTTAGGGATTGTGAAGATAGTTTCAAAATCCCGCAATACCATTGTACGAAGTCGGCTATAGGGTGTTTTGATAGCAGTGCGCTTTATATTGATCTTCACAAGGGTATTCGCGTCGCCTGTCAGAAAGCAATGACAAATTTCTAAATTTAAAATTACCTAGTAAAACCATAAACAGCTAGGTTCGTTTGCTAGATGATTGTATAAATCTTACTGTTGAGCGTGATTAAGCAACAAGTGGCTGCGATACTTGCTATTCATCATCCTCTTTGTTTGTTTGTTTGTTTGTTTGTTTCTTTCTTTTTGAATGAATGAATTAATAAATAAATGATTGAATGAAAGAATGAATAAATGAATGACAAAATGAATGAATGAATGAATGGATGGATGAATGAATAAATGAATGAATGAATGAATGAATGAATGAATGAATGAATGAATGAATGAATGAATGAATGAATGAATGAATGAATGAATGAATGAATGAATGAATTATGAATTGACATAACTGCATTTAGGATATTCCCACATACTTCCCTCCCCTTTGTCAGAAACCAATGAAGAGTCAACATACTAATAGCACTAGCTCCAGTCTGAATGAAAGTCCGCCTATGATTCCCACTCAGAGTTGAACATCACAGCTCTTCCTCATTTTAATCCAGTTCATCGCGCTAGTCACTTTTTCGTCACATTTTGCTATATAAAGCGCTTTAGCGACACACTAAAGGTATCTTTGAAAGTCTTCAGTGTAAACCCTGACGCCTGGGAGGCTGCAGCACAAGACCGGGTTTTATAGCGCAGATGTATCCAAAATGCTGCAACGATCTCCGACTTATCTAGAACAAAGGCATCTGAACAGCGAAGACACTCCCCCCCCCCCCTCCAAAAACGCTAAAAAGGCCCTTTGTCTACAAACTCTGTCCACTGTCCTCATTGTCCTTTCCAGGCACGTACTGGGCTTATAAGCCATCTCAGGACTCACAAACACTCATCTGCAGTTTCATGATGGACGAAAGAAAGAGTAGTCCTCATCACTTGTGATGGACGAAAGAAAAGAACAACAGAACAAAACAGAATATCTTATAGAACCTCTACTCAACCATCAATGAATTAGTCTTTCAGTTTGTGGATTCTCTGTCTGTCCTATCGCACTGTACATCTGATCACAGAGAGCTTTCACCACATCGCTTTATCATAAAGTAGCTTCCTGCCCAGAAGCTCGGCAGCAACCAATCTGTCAGTCTGCGCATAACCCCGCACACTCAAACGTCCTGGATAGAAAGTCCATGATATGCTACTGATCTGAGTCTTATCAAATGATGCACGCCACTCTATGCGTAGGACGCAAGTTTCAATTTCCTGAACCAAGCTTTGTCAGTCTGTTACAATGAAACCTCTTTCTTGAACTGGTCTTTTTCACTGCTGCGTCAAAGCATTTTATGCAATCCTAATGTTCAGACGTGCTAAAAGTAAAAATGTGCATCCCCTAAGACGCATTAGAAACATCAAAACCAACTCAGCTAGAATTCATTAAACGATTACTTGTGTGTGGTTGTGTATATATGTGTCTGTGTGTCAAGGGAAAGAAAAGGGGGAGTGGAGGTGTTGCCTGAAATTCGTATGTGTACAGCGAATCAATTTTCAAACGTGGCTTATTCCTAAAAAAAAATTTACTAGAAATCCTTCATCTAAATAAGACTAGCCAGTGGCTTTAATTTCCTGCCCTGTAGGCAAGAACGATAATTTAAAAATCAGCATAGCATTTTTTTTTTTGCTTAAAAAATATTACTACGGAATATATTAGCAATTTAGTCTGCTTCTTCTTCTTCTTTGCGTTGTAAATTCCAGCGTAATTTTCTAGTTGTTTGTCCACTTCTGGACTTTGGTCTTGTTCCAGAACTTAGAGTGCAGAACAAGGAGGAGGAAAAGGGAGAGGAAGTAGAAGCAGGGGCAGGAGAAGCCATTCATCACACGATGTTTGAGGCTTGCAGGCGGCCAGTTTCCCCAAAAAACGTCCTGGTATTAAATTATCTTTATCACGCTGTGCCATTTTGTGTCACATAGAGCTAGCAATCTATCCTTCAATTCCGCTCTATTGTACTTTTACCGACATTTCACTACTAGTGCCAAACGTGGATGTTACACAAGAGAAGGCAAAAATAAAACTTGAACAGTAGCAATGGAGTGTCTACGATGCATCCCAAAAAGGCAACATCAGAAAGTACGATATAAGGAACCTAGTGAAGATAAGGACACAAATAGTAAGTTATAAACCCAAGCAACGAATAGGTGGAAGATCTGAGGGGTCATAAATACCGGCAGCTACGTGATATCACAAAATGTATTCAGTCCAGCGCCTTTGGCCTCTCTCATCAACATTCGTTTAACAGTTTGTTTTTGACGTTTTTGCTTTCTCAATCCGTGTATTTCCAATGTCAGTGCCTGCTTGGTAATTCTAGGCTCGTTTTTTTCCTTCTAAAGATATGTCTACTATTGCGTCATTTTCTGTGTCTCATAACTGTAGTTACCAGTTTTTGTCCAGACATTTCGTTCATTTCTTCACCTTTATTGAAGTTCAACATTTTTCTCAGGAATTTCTTTTTTTTTCAAATTCATTTAACTTTCGTTCTGACAGGGGGTAGTCTGATAGGAAATTTGAAAAATATCATATTTTTGCTTTAACATATTTTATGCCACTAACCATGTAGGTAAATATGTCTATTTTCATGAGCAGTTTACAACTTTAAAATCCGATCAATAGAACCTGACATAATTTGATTACAAATGGGTGTGTGTGGGTAGCTCAAGGAGACAATTTTGACAAAAATGTCTATAAAAATTTTTTTTTTCTTTATATGGTTCTTTTCAATCCAAAACAATGAATCACTCCCCTTTTCTTGTGTCTTATAATAAGGATTTCTCCCTTTACTTCCGTTAAAGCATTTCCGTTGACAGAAGCTGGAAATTTTATAATTTGTGAGGTATTATCGAGTTATTTGTGTCAATACTTAGTTTAGAATTATGCCATCATTTCCAAAGCAGAGGAGTAAAGTTGCAAAGAAAAGGAAATTTAGAGGAAATCAGTTTACTTCTGCTTCAAAGCAACATAAACTGGTGGTAGACATTGAATTGCAGCCTCGTGTTTCACCAGCTGACGCTTGCCGAGTTTCTGAAGACAAAGAAAATAATCTGATTTCAGAATCTCTTAGTGCCACGCCCACTACATCAGAAAATAAACTGTTTATGGACAGCATTATGAATGAAGATCTAGAGGATAAACAAGAGTGTTCTGGTGACTTTAATAGCGACACTGAAAGTGAAAATGGTCATTTATCTGAACTTGTTCCTAGTGGTAACAGAATTATTGATATGTACATTTTGTGTGAGAATATTTCATCACAATTAGTGTGTGCAAGTTGTCATGAAAGTGTCAGATTAGTTGAAATTCAGAGGCAAGGTTTAGAAAGTAAACTTGCATTTCACTGCAACAATGAAAGATGTTCTGGACAAAAGGCTTTCCCTA